CAAAAGGTTTCCACATAATTAAGTTCAAGGTATTAAATCTTTCCCTTGGGTTATGGATTGTGCCTCTGGAAAGGTCTATCCTACCTACAGAGTTCACTGCGCTAGCCCATGCATTTGTTAATGAACACTGGTGGAAGTATCTAAAATCAAGTTCATCTATTCAAACCAAGTGTGTCAATAGAAGGTTTTCATTCTTATACTCCCACCAAGTTGTAAAACTCTGACACTGAATTTAAAAATGGAGTTGTTATCCTTTTTGTTTAGTCAATCATATGTCCTGAGAGATGACAGCAAATTTCATGTTGGTAAAGCAAATTCTACAACTCAAGACTTTACATAAGAAGAAAAGGAGTCTGACTTGTGAGGAGTAATTGAATGCTCTCAAGTATATATTTATGTGCATGTCTGTGTGGTTATGAAAGTGTGTATGTAAAGTTGAGTGGGCAAAGAGTTTTAAACAGAAAAGGTTTGTTATGGTGTATGTCTGCATGTCCCCCCAAATCCTCATGCAGTCCTGGGGTGGGCTTCTAGATTTACGATTGATTCATGGTACAGTGTTGGAATTATGGATGTGAGTGCTACACCTGCCCTGGGGTGGGTAGTTTGCATACAATGTAAGGGAGGGAAAGAGGCTGCCTGCCACCCCTCCTCTTTTTTGCTCTTGTTGCCTTTGCTGATTTCTGCCACCATGAGCTTTTGCCCTCTGCCATGTGTCACTGTACCTTAGAGCCAGCCAAGTATGGACTGAAACCTCCATAAACTGTAAGCTAAATAAACCTTTCCTTCCTTCATTTTGAGCGTTGGGTATTTTGTCTCAGCAATGAGAGAAAAGTAGCTAAGACAAGGTTACAAAACTAATTTTCCTAGGGAAAATAATCAATACTCTCCAAAAAGCCCTGATGTTCAATTTCACATAAAGACCAAATGTTGCTATTTTGCACACTCGTGGGAATCTGATGAATGGTGTCCTATCCATAGCAAATACATAAATTTTATATTTAAATCCAAAGTATACAAGTTAGCATTTTCAAACTAAGGTAATAAAACAGGCCTGTCTGATCTCTATGCAAAAATCATGTTCTAACTACTTTTTAAATATTAGATAATGTCTATCAACTTTCTCTATATATCAAATTTTTATACCTAAAAGTGCCCATCAGAAGCTTGGAGAAGCTACAATAAAGGCAAGTGGATTTTCAGGTTAGACAGGGACTGGGTCCAGCTGCCCTTCTTCTGCACCTTGTCATAACCCAACCAAAATGAGAAAAAAAAATAAAGTTAAGAGAAAGTCCAGTCAACACACACTTTGGAGAAATCTCTGCCGGTTGGATTAGAAATAGATCCAGACTGAATAAAGGCAGTGGGAACCTTTCTGGCAAGGCTGTTTCCCAAGACAGGATGTAGTGCTTGGAAAGGGGAAGGTGAAGACAGAGCAAGTCTTGAGGCGAGCACAATGAATTTTCACTGTTTGGATCCGCATCCTCAGAAACCCCAGGGGCAACGCCCGCCAACCAAAGAGAAGAGCTGCTTATGGCAAATTTCCCCCTAACGTAATCCGGTTCTTCCATGGAGGAGTGGGAAGTGAACCATATTTAGAATAAGGCAGCCATGAGGACTTCATGAGTGCTTGGACTGCAGGCCGAGCTAGGAAATACATCTGCAAAACTAAACTCAGCCTGGTACAACCGCTTCATTAAACAGCGTCTATCTGTAGTCATTTCATCTCTGTAAGGCAAAAAGCCTTTAAAAGTATACACACAATGATGAAATACAAATGGACAGTAGAGACCATAGTTGATAAAATAATAGATGCTACCACTCTCAACAAAATTAAAAGGGAGACTAAAAGAATATTTGCCACATAATTGGCAGCTGAGGGTTATTACCACTGAGATTTAAAAAAGATTTTACAAATCAGTTTGGAAAAAGAACCACCTTCAGATGAAAAATTGATATTAATCCCAAAATATTCTAGTGGGTATTGAAAACATAAGAGCTATGTATGGCCGTACTATATGGGAAGAAGAGTATTCAGCCTCACTCAGGGAAACGCAATTTTAAATGGGACTCTGTTTCCCACATATAAAGTTGGAGACAGAGTTCAGTGATGCTATCTTGTGCTGATCAGTCTGCATTCTATGTACTGACACAAGCACTGCACATGAGAGTGCAATTTGGTAACATTTTTGACAGACCAACTTGAGACATGTATCAGTGGCCTTAACAATGTGCATACTCTTTGACGCAATAATGCCACTTTGAAAATTTACACTAATGGAATGATTAGAGACATGGACAAATAGTCTACAGTTGAGAACTGTATGACTATAAAAAATGATAAAGGAGAAGAGTATGTCTTACAGAAAGAAGACTAAAATATGGTGGGATAGAAAGTTACAAAGTTACACGCAATTTGATTGCTCTCTATGTATGATACATGTGGATGTATGAAAATACACCTGATACCTAAACAACTGCTAAGAATGAAGAAAGGTATGCACCAAAGCATAGTGTATTTATAGGAATTTTTCTGATTATTCAATTTTCCATGCTACACATTTATTATTGGTAAAACAAAATGTATTCCAAAAGGGGAGAGAGAAAAACAAATTGAAGGGGACTCAACAAGAATCCAGAGTGCTGGGTGAGTGGCACACGTCTGTAGTCCAGCTATGTAGGGGGCTGAGATAGGCATATTTCTGGAGCCCAGGGGTTCAAGGCCAGTCAGGTCAACATAGCAAGACTCTGCTTCAAAAAAAATCACTATACGAACACATGAAAAGTAAAAAAATGCTTTGATACTTCAAGAATTGTTTAAGATATAACGTAAAAGATGACATTGATGAATGGCAACACTGAATAGAATCTATTGAGGCCTAAATTTCAAAAAAGTATGTAGGGTTTAATTTCTAAAATTCTACAACTTTATTGATTAATATAAAAAGAACTGTATACATGGATGTAAGGTACTTTTGAATTGAAAGAACTATTATAAAAATGTAATAGTCTTTGATTAGTTTAGTGTTTTTCATATTGAAATAAAACTTCTTACTGATCTCATTTGGGATATGTGAAAATGAATCACATCCGGTGACAGATGGGTGAGGTTGATCTACAACACCATAGGTAAGAAGAAAGGGAAGAGAATTTGCACTGGCAGGTATTTAAATACTGTATGGTGTCAAATGACAAGAGTTAAATCATTTTGGCAGTGCTTAAAAATAAAATAGGTAATAGAATAAAATAAAAAGCCAGGAGGAGAGCAAATAGCAATGTAAATTTTGTATCTGGAAAAAGAGGCATTAAATTAAGTTGGAAAAAGATGAATGGCTAGTAAGCAAGGAGAACAGATTAACTGCTTTAAAAAATAGGTATCTTTGTTTTACCATACCCCCCAAAAGTTCCAACTGAAGTACATTTTTAAATGGGAAACTACTTTTTCAACTTAGAATATAAAAAAGCCACTCAAAAAATAAGTAAATATAGGACCTTAGAACAAAATTTGATAGATTTGAGCATTTAAAAATGTAAATCTCCCATCTAATGACACTGCCATAAATAGAAAGTACAATGAACTGAAAAACAATTTGCAGTACACATAAAAAAGTCACTGCCTTAATATGTAAAGAGTTTCTACAAATCATCAAGAGCAAAGAAAGATGATTATAGCATCAAGAAAGCAAAAATTATGGCAAGGTAATTATCAAGAGAAAAATGTGAATGTCCAGTAAAAAACTGCATTTGTTCAGATTATGTCTCCATTCACCTGGTAAACTGGCAAAAATATTAAAATTATGGTATGCTATACCCTGAAATATATATATCTATATATATATTTGAGACAGGATCTCACTATGCAGTTCAGGCTGACCTTCAACTCACTAGGTAGCCAAGGCTGGCCTTGAACTCACAGAGATCCTCCGTTCTCAGCCTCTCAAATGCTAGGATTACAAGCATTCGCCACCACACTTGGCTACTGATCCGCATTTAGCAAATCCACTGCATTATACAGCTCTCTAAGGGAAAAATAGACAATATATATCAAGAAATTAAATGTTCATAACTTTCAATTTACAAATTAAAAACTTCTTCAGCAATCAGAAAAGTCTACAGATATTTGTGTTCCCTATAACCTAGTTAAGAAAAAAACCAAGGGTCCAATAAGAGACTGTTGACAAAATACACCATGGTATTTGCAGTCAGTGGCATAGGATTCTGCTAATGTAGAACATCTTATGATAGAACAAATGAAAATTGTAGGCTACACAACTGCACAATGCCAACTTGTCTAAAAGGTTGTATGAATTTGCACACTGAACAAACTTTAACCATCTGTAAACACTGGCATGCTAGAAGTGATGCAATTATGTTTCTCCTTTTCTCCATTCCTTTTCTTTCACTCATTCCACATACACTGAGTTGCTGTTATGGATCAGACATAGCTGTATTTCCAAACTGTCTTCCATGGACTATCTATTACTGTGTAATTGAAAAACATGTTGTAAAAGTCCATCGTCCAAAGCTGACTTCTCTTAGATGCTAAAAATTTATAAACGGTTCAGAGCAAGTTATGAAGGTCACGCAGGTTCTATTAAAAGTATAAAATAACATTAACAAAAAGAGACTTGAGGACATGTCCAGGTCACTACACATCCTACCTCTAGAAACATTTTGAAGATCATACTCACTCGGTTCAGCTTGGAGACAGCCTGTTGCTACCCGTGTAAAATGTGAGTGGTGTCTTACGAGCTCCTCTCCTAACTCTACTTAAGAATTAAGAAGACTGACAACTCGCCATTCTAACCCCTTCATATGCATTATCTATTGGACCTCACAACAGCAAGGGAGTAGCAATGACAGACTCTGTGGACAGGGACGCGTGACTCGGGCAGGTTATGCCTTGCCCGAGGCTGAACCTGGGTTGCAGGGGGGCAGGCAGCCCTGTGTGTGGGAAGGGCCCGGGGCGCAGGCCAGGGCGCGGAGGGCGCGCCTTGCCTTACCGCGGCTTGCTGGAAGGCGCCCTTGGTGTAGGTGCCGCCGCCGCGGTAGGTGATGGCCGGGATCTCGCGGCTGAGCAGCGCGCACTTGTGCTGGTGCGCACGGCGCGAGGAGATGTAGTCGACGCGCGGCACCACGTTGCTCTTGGACGCGAAGGTCACGATGGCCACCCGCGTGGCGGTGGACACCACGGGGAAGTCGGACAGCAGCTTACGGACGAACTTGAGCTCGCTGCGGAAGTTGGCTTGGCCCACGCTGGACGACTCGTCCACCAGGAAAACGAGCTCCAGACGCTCGCTGAGCTCCCGCAGCCGCCGCACGCGCCGCCGGAACGCCTGGCCCAGCCGCTCCACTTTGCTCTCCGCCGCCTCCTCCTCCTCGCCGGGCGCGGGCGGCGCGGAGGACAGTCGGCCCGGCGCCCCGGGTGCGGCCTCGGAGAGGAGGCGGAAGCTGAAATTGCGCGACGGGGACGTCTGCTGAAAGGTCGTCCAGCCCGAAACGAGCGCCAGACCCCAGCAACAAAAGGCCAGACGCGGCCACATTGCGCTGGCGACGGAGCGGTCGCCCCGGAGCGCAGGAGGCGGCCCGGCGAGGAGCTGCGCCCGGCGGCTCGGCGCGCAGAGGGTGCGCGCGGAGGGGAACGCGGGGCAGCGGCGGCCGCGAGCCTCAGAGCCCTTTCATCTGACACTGGGGACACAGTCCAGACTCCTTGGCAGCTCGGAGATCCGAGGGAACGGCGCGCTCTCTAACTGTCTGCGCTCCTCTTTTTTCCTGCCCTCTCTCCTCCTCCTCTCTCTCCCTGAAGCCTATAAAATATTTGAAGGCAAGGGGGCAGTCAAGAAAAATCCCCCGCACCCCTCCTTCTCTCTCACTCGCTCTCCTCTGTCTCTCCCGCTCCGCTCTGCTCTCTCCTGCCTCTATCTCTGCCTCTATCTCTCTCCTCCCCCTCTCGTTCTCCTCCCGGGACCCAACCAAAGGCTCTGAGATTCCATGACACCAGAACCTCGCGTCTGTCAGACTGTCAACATTCCCGCAGCAAGCTCACCAGCGCCGGGGCCCTGATTGATCCCATATGTCTGGCAGGAGCAGCAGAGGAATTCACTGGAGATGGATCCAGATACCGAGAGTGCCACAGTAATTGGAAACACTTTTGAGAAGAAAACACACACATGTGCTGGCCAAGGAGTTGAAAGCATCTTGTGAAAACTGCTTGCTCACCTTCTGTGTTTCCCACAGCTCTCGCCGAATAGGTGTCGGTATGACACTTCCCACTGGGCACTTCGGTGACAGTGTGCAGACTTCTAAGGGTCTCCTCAGATGACACCACACATGGGTTACATTTACCCATCCTGTAGGCAGTATTTGTCCCGCTGCTTCATTTGTGCCTTTATTTATTCAACTGTTTATTCTTTCCTTGACTTAACATAGTTTTTTAGTGCACAGTATTGTGTGTGCCAAGATCGATGTTAGGCACCAAGAACATGAGCAGTAACAGCAGTTGATGTGAATCTTGTATTCGAGAAACTTGTAAGGTCACAAGTGATTACCAGACATTCACACAAGAAATATACACAACTATGACTCATCCTGCTAAGCGCCATAAGCTGGAACTTAGGTACAACAGACCTTGGCCAAAGCCAGAAAAGCCTTTTCTGAGAGTAAGAAGTTTATGGTAAATTCTGAAATATGAGCCAAGATCCTTTTTCCAAATCCATCTTTTCCTTCATCTATTTCAGTAGGTGAGATGCATCTGGCTTTGAATTGTGTCTGGTATATATCTTGGAAGCACAAGCTGCTACCTGGGGTGGTTTTTTCCAGAGCAAGATCCCTAAGGGGTGCAAGTATAAGGAAGACACACACTTCATCTGAAAGGCGAGGCCCTTAGTTGAAATAGTCCAGCTGAGAGTCAGGAGCCCATTGTAGATTTGCCCTTGCAGTTATGCAAAGTACCAAAATTCCTGGCTTAGTTTTTGCATCTACTTCATGATGGAATTCAGTGATCTCAAATTTTCCTCTGTCTCTAATAGTGAATAGTTTAATTCCATGTATATTTGATGAACTATCTTCAATAAAAGACATCACAATGTATTAATATCAGTTGAAATGCTAACGCTCTGGCATCTGGTTGCCTGAGATGAAATCTTGGCCGTGTCATTTACTAGTTGTGTGATCATGGCATCACTTTGCTCTTTTAGAAAATGGAGCAATCATAGCAGATGAAGGGTTCGTGTAAGGATTAAGTCCTCAAAAGTAAATAAATAATAAATAAAGTTCCTAGGACAGTAATTAGAAGACCAAAGCATGGAGTGAAAAACTGCTGGTTGTTGTTATCACCATCTTTAATCATGAATGTTCTCCACCTCCTTATTTTTCTGATGCTATTTCTTGATTATTTACTATCTACTAGCATGTTAGATACTGAGGATTAAAAGGTGAGACAGACTCTGCTCCAGTTCTCCAGAAGTGCAGCATGTATCAAATTTTGCAAATAATTGTGAAACAGGATGATCACAAGATGGAGCAGAGGGAGCAAGGAGGAGAAAGAGCTAAAGCTTCCTGGGAATGATTACGCTCTCCTTCGAACTGGGACATTTTGAAAAGGAAGGCATTCCAAATTTCATCCATTCTGTGTGATTTAAAACACATCATTAAGAGCTGGCATTTCAGGACCTTTGTATGTGAGGCACCATGGCAACTGCTGTGTGCACCATCTCATGTGTTTCCCACAACAACCCAGAGAGGTTCGTATTGCCTTAGGAACCTTTGGTTACAAGTACTTGGGAGCCAACTTCTCCTTTAAACAAAAGGACTTCCTTGCTCAAGCAACTAAACTGTGGAAGGGGCGGGGTAGTAGGGCTGATCTCTAAAAGCCCTGGAAAAGGAAGTCAAGCACTACTCAGGTCTTCAGGGTTTCTCTCACTTCCACTTCTCTTTGCATACTGCATTTAGTCTTTTCTTTTCAAATAATTTAAAAAAATTTTTATGAAGCCATGCTTAAGGTACATAATGTTTACAGTCATCATGTAATTGGCACATATGTGTAACACATCTTATTTCTTTTTATTTCCTCTTCCCTTCCTCCAATTCCATCTCTTGGTCCCTTTTCTATTTGTGAAAGAGCTAACTGCTTCAGATTTATGACCTGAGAAAGGGAGATTCTTGCTCCCAATCTCAGGTCTAAAAACATTACCAAAAACCACCAGCACTACTTAACAGAAGGGCTGCATTGAAGCAGACATGGATTATATGCTTATCCCTTAGTCCACCATTGTGATTTTAAGTTTCAGCTGGGCACAAAGTTGCCTAGAATGAAGACTACATTTCATAGTATCTTCTGCAGCTGGATCTGATCGCATAATACATTCTAGGCTGGTTTTGTGTAGCAGGTTCCAGAAACCTTCTTTAAAAGACACCTACTATCTTTTTTTTGTTGTCTCTTCCTTTTATTCTTTACTCCATCTTTCTATCTAGAACATGAATATGGTGGCAGAAATTGTGGACCAGGAGAATGATGGTCTTAGTTTAGGGATGGGTGAAGCATGGGTCTCTCTAGACTTCTTGGAGTAGAACCATCACAGTTATCCCAGGTTTCCTAGCTATCTATTTCACGCTGAGAGTTCCTGTCACATCCAGCTGAGTTTAATGTGGACTAATATACTCAAACCTGTTGCTATGGAGTCTACACTGTTAAATTATCCCTTTATGACTATAGTGATAGAGAAAAGAGAACACAATGAATTGTACATTGGCTCTTCAAGGTGCCTCCCCAAATTAACAAACATTAGTTCTGCTCTCACAGGGAGTTCAAAGCAAATCACATGGCCATATCTAACTCCAAAGGGAGCAGGGAAGGACAAGCCTAACATATTTTCAGAGAGCAGAAAGCTAAAAATATTTGATGAAAAGCATAAATAATTGTTCTACCAAGTCACATAACAATGAGAAGACAGTTGAATGCAAAAACCAAAATAGACACAAAACTCTGGGATGCTTAGATTATCCTGAAATTTAGGAGCTTCCTATAGGAAAAACTTATAAATCAATTTCTGCAAGGACTTCCTGATCTTTAGTTTGGAATGGTAAATTCCCTCAATGCCAAATGGGAAGGGGACCAAGAGATAGAGTTGGAGAGGGAAGGGAAGAGGAAAGAAAAAGAATTAAGATGTGTTGTCTACATGTGCCAACTCCCATAATGAATGTAACCATTCTGTACCTCAAATATGTATTAATAAAAACTTTCAAAATTATTTGAAAAGAAAAGACTAAATGTAACATACAAAGAGAAGCTGAAGTGAGAAATTGTGAAGACCTAAGTAGTTCTTCCCTTCCTTTTCTAGGGCTTTTTGAGACCTGCTCTACTGCCCTGCCCTTTCCAGTTTAGTTGCTTGAGTGAAGAAATCAATTTTTGTTTAAATGAGAAGCTGGATGCCTGTTACTTGCACCCAAAGGTTCTTAAGGCAATTGTGAACCTCCCTGGGTTGCTGTTGGAAACACGAGATGCCTGCTAGATAAGACCTTGATTAATTGTGTAGCACATAGTGTCCAATTTTAGCAAGAGATCATAACTGAGCAGTGGTGGGAGTTATAATAAATTTTTTTTCTAAGTTTCTAAAATCCGAGCCCTTCCTGGAATCTTGTCTTTCTTGGCACAAAACACCAATTACATTAAAATACGGTCACTTTTGAACATTTTTTAAAATACAATTTGTTATATAGCAATACATATATCTCTTCATAGTCACATTGAGAAACATTTATTAACTGTTTCAGTAAATACCTTATATTTAAAGTGATGATATTAATAATATTTTGAGATATCTGCTGTAGTCGCAGGCACATGAAATCTCCTTATATTATTCTGACACATATACTAGGGGGTGACAGCATAAGGCCAACATACTCTGGTACTGTGTATTTCCAGTGAGCTGGTCAATGAGGCTTCTGACGAATGTCCTGAGGTTAAGAGTAGGGACATGCCAGAGGCAGAAAAATCTTTCCTGAACGCTGTTAAGATTGCAGCTTTGGTCTTGTCAGCATTCACCTGCACCCTGTAATCTATTGTACTCTAAAGTCATAGTTTTCAATACGGGGAGCTGATTTGCACCCGCATTCTGGGAGCACTGAGCTGTGGGGGTGTGGAAGGGCTATTGGTATCCATCCCAAACTAGGGATGCAAGCACTGGACAGTACTTACCGCAGAGAACCATCCATCCCAAAATGTCAGTAGTGCTGAGGTTGATAATCCCCAGCTACGCCACAGTACTATACACAGGAAATAGTGAAAATTCACTTTGCCAAAAGCTAGTTTTGATAAACAACCTCAACAAAAGGGCATTTTGGAGCTGAACTGAGAAAAACTGCCCTGGCTTCATCTCATGAAATAGACTTTGATGAAGGGAGAGAGTTAGTGAGCAGGGAATGAAGGGGTACATCATACTCTTCTCAGCTGCATCCTGGTTCAGCCCCAGGGTTGGAGTGATAGAAACAGAACCTCAGTCCCTGTCTGACCACACATGAGGGTCTGTGCCAGAGTTGAGGATGCCACCTCTATCCACCACTCACTGCAATTATCTTTCTACTTAAAGCAATCATTGTGAAAAAGAACCCCTTTGCTTTTGGAGT